CTTACCAGACCTGACAGTTTTCTATTTTAAAAATTATACAGATCTAGTTTATTAGCTTGTATTCTATTAAGCACTTTTTCCTATGCCTGGGAGGCAAGGAGGGGTGCTGCACTTTATGGGAGAGGGGCCCTGCCTTGTCATAGGTCAGATCAGGATCCAGGCGACAACTTATGGGTGACGACCAGCAGCAGTCAGACTAACATCTGTGCTGTTTCAGTGGGTATCTGCTGAAGACCTCCGGACCAGGATGAGGCCTGTAGATGAAGCCTTCTCCAAACAAATGGAAGAAGTCTCACATTCACAGGTTTTTGTCCTGATATGGAGGACTTTAATCACTCTGGTATCTTCTGGAAGGAGAACACAAATCCAGACTTATGCATTGATGACAACTTCCTGACAAAGGTGATCAAGGAGCCAATATGCTTAGAAGAATTCCATGGGATGCAAAGCGAAGAGGGTTGCAGGAGAGCTGACTGATATGCAAGAGTCATTTCCTAAAGCTCAACAGAAGTCCATCCTGACAAATAGGAAATCAAAGGCAGGAGGCCTAAATTGATGAGCAACGAGTTTCTGGTTGAGCTCAGACACAGAAAGGAAGTAACAAGAGGTGGAAGCAGAATGACCCATAAGGACTTTAAAAATGCTGTCCAACTGTGCATGATGGGGATAGGAAAGCCAAGACTTATGTGAAGTGGAATCTGGCAAAGGACATGAAAGACAGTAAGAAAGGAAACAGACAGAAAACATGATCCTGCTGCTTAACAGGGCATATGATCTGGCAGCAAAGGGCACAGAGCACAGAAAAGGCTGAGGTACTGAACGCCTTCCTCATCTCAGTCTAATCTGCTAAGATTGACTTTCAGGATTCCCAGAACGCCAAGACTGAGGGAACTACAGGCTGGTCATCCTCACCTCAGGCCCTGGGAGGGTGATCAAGCATGGAAAGCACTTCCAAGCACACGAAGGACAATAAGGTGATCAGAAGTAGCGAGCATGGATTTATGAAGGGGAAATAACATGTAATCAACTTGATTGCCTTCTACAATGAGGTGACTAGCTTTGTGGATGAGGGGAGAGCAGTGCATGTTGTTTACCTCCACCTTAATAAGTTTTTTTACAAAACTTCCTGTAACGTTCTCAGATAAGGTGACAAAGTATGGGTTAGATAAATGGACAGTAAACTGTCCACTGACTGATGGCACAAAGACCCATTGAAGGCAAATCACTAATGGTGTACCCCAGAGGTTGATAACGAGGCCAATACTACTTAACTTGTCCATTAATTACCGGGACATATTATCCAGAGAAGTACTGTGCCCTCAGCAAGTGTGCAGAAGACGTAAAACTAGGAGAAGGGGCTGATTTATCAGATGGATGTGCTGCCATTCAACGCATTTCAACAGGCTGGAGAAATAGGTCAACAGGAACCTCATAAAGTTAGACAGAGAGAAATGCAAAGTCTGGCATCACTAATATATAACCCCAGCACCACTACATACTGGGGACCAGCCAGCTGGAAAGCATAGAATCTGCAGAGAACGACCTTGGGATCCTATTGGACAGCAAGATGACCATGAGGTAGCAATGCTTCCTCACAGCAAAGAAGGCCAACAGCATCCTGGGCTGCAAAAGGAAGAATGTTGTCATCACATTGAGGGAGATGATCGTTCCAGTCTTATTCAACTTATTTATCGACAACCTGGACAAAGGGATAGAATAGACCCTAAGCAAGTTTGCTGATGATACTGGGGGGGAGTGTTGGATACATCTGAAGGCTGTGCTGCTGTTCAGCAGGACCTTGGTAGGCTGGAGAGTTGGGCAGAAAGGAACCTAATGAGGTTCAATAAAGTCAAGCGCAGGGTCCTGCAGCTGGCCAAGAATAACCCCAAGTACCAGTACAGGTTGGGGGCTGACCTACTAGAGAGCAGGTCTGCAGAAAATGACCTGGGAGTCTTGGCGGATGACAAGTTAAGCATGAGCCAGCAGTGTGTCCTCGTGGCCAGGAGGGTCAATAGTATCCTAGGGTGCATCGGGAAGAGTGTGGCCAGCAGGAGCTGATCCTCCCCCTCTACTCTGCCCTAGTGAGGCCACATCTGGAGTACTGTGTTCAATTCTGGTCTCCACAGTTCAAAAAGATAAGGAGCTACTAGAGATAGTCCAGCAGAGGGCCACAAAGATGATGAGGGGTCTGGAGCATCTCTCTTATGAGGAGAAACTGCTGGAGCTGGGCCTGTTTAGTCTAGAGAAGATTGAGAGGAGATCTCACCAACACATATAAATATCTCAAGAGGATGGTGCCAGACTCTTTTCAGTGGTGCCCAGAGACAGGACAAGGAGCAATGGCTATAAACTAAACCACAAGAAGTTCTACCTCAATATGAGGAAGAACTTTACATTGAAAGCAGTAGAGCACTGGAACAGGCTGGCCAGAGAAGTTGTGGAGTCTCCCTCTCTGGAGACATTCAAAACCCACCTGGGCATGTTCCTGTGTTACCTGCTCTAGGTGACCCCGCCTTGGCAGGTGAATTGGACTAGATGATCTCTGAAGGTCCCTTCCAGACCTGTCTATTCTGTAATTCTGTGATTTCTCTCCACTCAGCACTAGGAGGGCCACATCTGAAGGGGCCAGTTATGGGTTTCCCAGTACAAGAGATGCAACTAGTGGAGAGAATCCAGTGAACAGCCAAGGAAAAGGAAATTTTTTATACACAAAGAGGGTGAGAGAGCTAGGACTGCTCAGTCTGGAGAAGGCTCAGAGGAAATGTTATTAACGTGCTTAAATACTGGATGGGAGGCATCCAGTATTTACGCATATTGAAGAAGCAGCAGTCAGACTTCTCAGTGGGCCAAGGACCACTTACAGGACAAGAGGAAATAGGCACAAATTAAAAACAGAATATTCCCTCTGAGCTCAAGAAAATATCTTTTTACTCTGAGAGCAGTGAAACACTGGCACAGGTTGGCCAGAGAGGTTGGGGAATCCCTATCCATAGAGATACCCAAAACTGGACAGGATCCTGGGCAATACTCTCTCTGACCCTGCTTGAGCAGGGGGGTTTAACTAAACAACCTCAGGAGATCCTCATCAACCTCATTGACACTGCAATTCCTTCTTCCTTCTTTCTCCTTATCCCTTGAAACTCAGTTCTCTGATAAGAACTCTGACTTAGTAAATTTTTTCCTGCTGAAGGCCTTGCTTATATTCAACAACTCACATTCCTACAGAAATCACTTGGGTCTTCCTTCTAATCAAATTATTAAATGCTCTCAGACAATGTATTTGAAATGGCCTTAGCTCATTAAGTCCTGCTACAATTTAATTTAAGAGCATGCCATGAATATTAAAATCAAGAAACACTGCTCTGAGCTGGGCTCTTGTTCTTTTTTGAAAAATCTCTCAAACACAGTTTTACTATGAGTTCAATTACATCCACATGCTTCTTTTAGGGACTCTCATTGATACTTTTGATACTTGAGATACCCTGAGATTAGCTCAGTTCATCAGAGCATGGTGCTAATAACAACAAGGTTGTGGGTTTGATCGCAGTATGGGCCATTCGCTTAAGATTTGGACTCACTGATCCTTGTGGGTCTCTTTCAACTCAGAATATTCTGTGAAGGTCTGTGAAGGTTCTATGCCTGAACGAATGAGATAACATGGAACTCTTGCACTAAATATTTTGCACTAAATGCCAAAGCTATAGACAATTTTATATATATCTATATATCTGCATAAATGTAGACAGATAAAATCACATACAGTAATATTGCTTATTGAGAGTTCAGTAGTCAAAGATATTATTTGATCTTTTAATCTTTTTCAGAATATTGTTCATTTTGCATCACTCAGGCCTGCTTTTGCCTAAAGACATTAGGATCATAGAAAACTGAGCAAAATATAAGTCTCATCTCTCAAATTAATCAGTTAATTAGCAGATTAAATCAATATTACATAAAAAATGGCACTATCTTCCAGTACTTTTTCAGTATTTATCTAAGACTGGGGTGGGGAATGTCCCAGTGTTATGGACATTTAGGGATATTTAGGGACATTAGGCATTTTAAGCCTCCTCAACTGATTTAATTACATAATAGATAGACAAACTAAATAGTTTCCCACTTTTATTCTAATCTTATCTGACCCATCATGGCAGAACCTCAGAAGGTTTTTCTTCAGAGAGAGAGACTGAGAGAGAGAGAGAGAGAGAGAGAAACCACAGACTCAAAATGATCCACAGAAAATACAACAGGTATTCTTGGAAGGGAGCAAAGGAGGGAAGAAAGGACAGAGCTGCTGTGATACATTTCCTTAGTTCAAATAGCAATACTGTGTATAAGAAGCAAAATCCTAATCTTTTCTTGTAATAGTAAAATTTAAAAATACTTGAATCCATAGTTATAAAGAGATACATTTGATCAAGCCTTAATCCAGAATTCAACTGGGATTTTTGCAAAGTTACACATAGATTGGTACACTGATTCCTTCATTGCAGTCTAAGTACCTAATCCTCCTCCAGTGAAATAAACAGAAGGCACTCCAAAGCAATCACTAGAAGTTGAATGACATCCATACAGAACAATATTAAAGACCAAGGAGTCTACTCTGCTGCAGATTGTTTGGTTTTAATTACACAAAATTTATGTGGAAAAAACTTAAGCTAAGCCTTAAATAGCAAATTTTCTGTCAAAACAGTCACAGATGCAAACAATATAAAATCCACCCAGAAAAAAAATGGATGCAACCCTTTTTTAAAAGACATTTCACAAAATACCTTTTTTCCTATATAGCTTTTAAAAATGCTGTGTTCTAAATGTATCCTGAAGTCACTTCTCAGACCACTTCCAAAAAATATTCCTCCTGCTTGAATTTTTATTTTCATGCTTCATCCTGCCTACTTAAATATTCATGGAAAGAAATAACAGTTCTACCTGCAGAGTCAGAAAACAAGTCTGAAAATCTCTCCTCACTGTATTTATTAACAGTATTTTAAAACACTCACCAGTTTGCCACCAGTGGTCCAAGACAGGTACCTTGAAAACTTCTTTTGACCATTTTAGCGTGTCCACATCACAGTGCTCGCCAGCTACAAATAACGTTCTGAACCTTTAAATAAAAATAAATAACGTATATATCTTGATCTTGATGTGCAAAGAAAAACAAGATAACAGATAAAATAAATGCCTCTGGTCACCGTTCCAGATAAAGGGAAAAGATGAAGGGGGGCTCTTAGTCTTGGTATGCTCCTTCCTTCTAAGTAACGATTAGAATATTTGCAGTATTAATTTATGCTACTTAATACTTCATCATGTAAAAGAAGCTTTATGTTCTGAATGCAAAGACACTGGGAGACCAGAGGCAAACAACTGTCAGTCAAAATAAAAAATAATCAAATGTACGTAGGAACTAGGTAGATATCCACTAGGCAACACACAGGAATGAAGTATCAAAAAAGAGTCAGAAAGATTTATCAAAAAAAGCAGTAAAGAAATACACAGAACTAAAAGGAAATACCTGTAGCATAACTCTTAGTTTTACATTGTTAATAATGTTCCATTTCAACATATTTTAGTATTTTTTGAACTGTTGAGTCATCTTTTTATAGGCATTTGGAAATGAGTTGTGGGGGAAACAACAGGATAAAGCCATTTTCTTGTGGTGAAGCAGGCTATATATACATAAATAAAAAAAAATAAACTAATCCTACTAGTAAATGACAATCAGAGAAGCACTCAGCACCAGACTTCAACTCATCTGACTGAACCTTCCACAGCCGACTCTGGCAAAGAAGAGACGCAATGCCTGGCAGTCCTGACAGATGGGTTCTGCATGTTTGCACCACCAGAATCGTCTTCCTAGAGAGATGGTGGATGCCCTGCACCTGTCAGTGTTTAAGAGCCATTTCAACAACGTCCTTAGTAAAATGTCTCAGCTTCTGGTCAGCCTTTAAGTGGTCAGGCAGCTGGAGCAGATTAGTGCTACAGGTCCCTTCAAACTGAACTACTCTGTTCTATAGTCATGGATACTCATGGCACTGGCTGGACACCACCACCCAATAAGAAGATACTAAAGATAAGAATCATTTATGATCTTGTCCTTACAACGCTGAGAAATAAATAAGCAATCCTCTTCACATAAAACACAGAACTTTTAATTCATGTTCATGATGCAGAGATGAAATGTCCAGCCAAGTATAATCAGATAAACTGCCGATTTATATTCAATACTTTCTCATTAGTACATTCCTAGTTTTGTTGTCTGTATTGTTGACAGCAAGATTTCCACAGGGAGCATGTTATTTGTCTAATTGGCTTTTACTATCCAAAAAATATGTCAATGCTGAACTAGTAGTTTTCTGGGCATTCTCTATAGTCCACAAAGAATAAGAGGCAACTTTAGAGAGTAATTTATCTTTAAGAGACTCAAAAGGGTAAGGTTTACTTATTATCTAACAAAAACCAATGAAAACCAAAATGAAACAAAATCCAAGGCCCTTGAGCAACATTGACACATGACTAAGACACAGGATAGAGACTTGGTTAAGCTACTGTTTAAAACAATAGCAATAGATATAGCTATTAAATTATTGCATTATTACTTCGGATGAATTTTCCTGCATCTCAGAAAAAGGATATTAGGAATGTCTTAAAATTTCAGATATTGCTATTTTGCTGCACGCTTCAATGTGTTCCTATTTAAGCAAGATTTTGAAACAGAATCATCTATTCGAGAAGTAATATCTAAACCAGAGGGAAATCAAAGACATAACTTCTCTTTTCATTTTACAGATAAATCACAACAGACTGCACCTCCTTCCCTGGAAGACTGGCATGGCAATCTGAAACACTTCAACCACATTAACACCTGTTTGTAACCACCAAGTGCAATCCTGCCATGAGGTATAATGTGAATCCTGACTGCAGAACTGCCTTGCACACAGCCAACTGTGACAGGCCACAGGGTGGGGGCTCATGCCTTCCCTCTCCCAAATTCTCCCTATATGGCATACTACCAAAAAAGACAAGAGGCAAACTTAGATTCAGACTCCACATCAGAAGAACTGTGTTTACTAGCAAGGGACCTCTTTCTTCAAGTGTACAGGTATACACTCTACAAGCAACTAAACATTTCACAAACACAGGAGAAACTGCAGACACACTCTGCCAAGTACTGCATCAATCCCCCTTAGGCTTCCAAGATGACAGAATGTTTAATTATATGAACAGAGCTTCATCAGACCCTGGCATTAAAAATACTTCTCCAAAACGTTCCCTTGTTAGGATTGCAGCACCCTCTCCCACTGCCAGATCAATGTCACTGACATTTTGTTTCACTTCAAGTCTTCCCTCTGTCCATTTTGAATGAAGACAACTGCTGAACAAAAGACCTGGCTCTTGTCCTTCAGAAGTGGACACAATTTGCACTGATTTTGTAAAACCTGTAGACTTGGGGCCACAAAGGGAGGGAATTCTTAGATATTGTGGGCATGAAACAAATTTCCCTTCAGAGTCATGTAATTTAGAGAGAAAACTATGAGATTCATCTTTCCATGGAAATGAAATCCAGGAAGCAGATTAGGAAATTATGAGAAAAATCAGAGCACGTAACCCAAAGGTGTCAGAAATGAGAAAGAGAAATGCACAGCTCAGCCTGTCTGACCACAGAACTGAGAGTACCTCTAAGAGAGAAATTACAGATTTCCCTATAGAGACCACAGACATCCCATAACAAGGCTGCCCAAACCAAGGAGCATACTTTAAATATTCACACTCCATTCTCCAACAGAGGACAGACACATGCTGATAGCATAAAATGCAGCCCTTCACAGGGTAAGGACTAGTGACCCACTCACTGTGTAGATGCAAGGCAGGAGAATGTACAAATTAAAGCAACATCTGGAAAAAGCGTAAATAAAACCTGTGATGAAACATCGTAAGTGTAACAAGCCATGTGCCCTAAAACTGTGATAGTGACGCTTGGCCTAGACATGAAAAATTTAACGACTTTATTGTCTTTCAGATCCATTTACAGATCCATAATTAGAGGAAAAAAACATCCACAAGCAAAAGATTAGAACTAATCACCAACATAGGGACTCCTGCACCATCTAGAACCTGAGAATGCTCTTACCTGTCGCAGAAACATTCATAGCCATATTAATAACTTCAGCCATAATAACCATAATAATAACTTCAATACAGATAAGTCAACTTACTGCACATCTAGTTACAAACTTAGGAAGGTCAAAAGATCTTGAAAAATATTACCATATTGAACTTGAACATGTAGATGAAAGAATTCAACCTAATTTCAGAACAGGACCCTCCTTTCTGACACTCCAACAGGGCTTGGAGTGGCTTCTTACTTGGAATCGAAGGCAGGAGGTCAAATGCATAAGCAGCTATCACATCAAATAAGCAAATTTTTCTGTACTCATAAATACTCAACATCATTTTGGTAAACGGCTTTCTGAGCACACTGGAAGATACTGATTGTAATGAGTGTGACCCCAATCAATATCTTGCACCTGAATGCTTTTAATTGTAAAGCACAAGCCATTGCTGACAATTATAGTCAATAGCTAACTAGAATTCTAACACAAATAAAAGTTTATGGTAGAAAAAAACAAAACATTGTTTAAGTAATAACCATAAATATGTATTTTATGAGACTTTTCTAAGACTCATGTTCATATGCAGGGTACTCCCGTCAAGCAGTGTATGTAAATTCTGCTCGATTTATTTTATATGGAAAATTCCATCCTTAGGCATGTTAAAAACAACATTCCAGCTACAATTTAAAAATTAGATTAATGAATGCATTAACTTCATAAAAAAATGAAAAATTCTGTTAAGTGTCCTTGTTTTAAAACAGGGCTATTAAAACAGCAGAAACATAAAAGACTTGATGAAAAAGTTAAGATACCTTCTTATCCCCTGAGCCAAAAGCAGAATTCCTCTCTTCTAAACTACCAGCTCTAATAATCACATTTAACAATCTGCAGGTCAAGATCAACTTTGTGTTGTGAAAAGAAGAAAAATTAGCTCTGCGGCAAATTTACAGCACAAAAACATCAAAAAGAGTATCAGAGCAAAGTGCCACAAGCCTAACAAAGCACAAGAACTATGGAATTATTTTCTCTATCAAACAGTATAGCAAAACAAGGAATGGCAATGGTTATATAATGTCCCACTGAACAATTTTTAATAGTCCACTTAAACCTTCAAAGCATGTCAGTGCACCTCCTACTGCAATCTACCACTGCAATGCACTTAATTGAGAAGAAAGGTCTTTAAACCTCTCTGTTAAATAAATATGTCCTCAGCTGTTCTGAAAATCTACATTTCTAACATAAAATTCAGCACACTCAGGCTTTTAGGCCCTGTCCAAGAGTGCAGCAGAGGACAGATCAATGTCCCTAACGATCCTGGTGCAATCTAAATTGTTCAATACAGCATGTACATTTTGGTGTCAGTCTAAGCACAAAAGAAACCACACCTCCAAACCATTTCCCAAAAGCAGGAATATTCACATGAGTAATAATCTGAGCTTCACTTTTCCAAATCAAAAGATCATGGAAGTTTTGGGTTTTTCTAATTCTGGATTGCACATACTAGGTTAAGGTACGTTTTCTGGCAAAAAAACCCTCTATCTGCATCATATTAAACAAGATTTTTTTCCTAAAAAGACAACAACAAAGGTTCATTTGCACTTCTTAACATACACTGGAAATAAAGAACTCTTAGTAAATTTTAATGCACCTGGAGTCTACAGACATATATATATATTTAAGCATGTAAAATATAAACCCATTATTTTCAGATCCTTCTGATTTTTCTCGATTGATGGGTTTGTTCATTTCCCTCCCTGAATAGATTTTAACTTGGCCACGAGTATCCAAGCACTGGAGGTTTGGGTGACAGAGTCAAGAGGGACACAGAACACAGCTGCAGCTCAGCTCCTTCTCACTGTGTGGGCGAGGGAGAGCCCCACAAAGGCTCTTCATGAGCACAGCTCAGGACTCCAACAGGAACAGCCACACATGATCTACAGCAGCACAGAGTAGGGGGCAGCAGGCAGAACTGCATAATGCACTTCAATTGTCCCAAATTCTGTGCCTTAATCACATATCCTCTAGCAGCATGTGTGAAACATCAATTCTATGACAAAATATTTCCTTCTTACAGTTTTGAATTTTCCTCTTTAATTTCACATCCTCTTGTTTGTGTGTTATGAGACAGATAATGGGAATTTCTAATCTACTTTATATTCATTATTTCTGCACAGTTTTCATGCAGTCTCATATTTCTTTCAAAAGCAAGTGCATTAATATCTAGTATCAGATGAACAAGCTAGAATCTCTAAATTCTCATGATACAAAATGGCAGACCATTTCTCAACAGATGAAAAGTAAAGAAAGCAAAGTAGACTATGGGACACAAATGGCAAATTGTAACTTCTACATTAATCTAATCTGCTGATTTGTTGCCCCCATTTCATGCAAAACCATCAGTTGCCAATCACTTGGAAATCAGAGTGAACCAGCTCATAACAATTATGTCAATTACAGGACAAGGTGTGATTCTAAATATGGGAAGAGTTAATGGCTTGGTGTTATGAAGCTACCTCAGAAGACGAGAATGGATTCAAAGAGCTGAACAGAACATGCTCAGGTAGATGAGGCTCATGGAATTTGGATGTTACTTGTTTTTCAAACACAACAGGAAGCAGCCTGTTCAGCAGCACTGGATGTTATCAAAAGCTGTGTCTTTAGATCCCCTACAAATATGTGGTTGAACAGGGCCTTTGTCCTACACTATTATAAATTAAACATCTCTTTTACTGCTAAGCATGAGCCGTGTTTAAGACACATTTTGTGTCAAAAGCAAAAAAATGTCAAGATTTGATTGCAATAACCACAAGGAATTTAAAGCATACACACTAGAACCTTTAGAAACCTTACCTATAGTTTTGTGCAGAGACCAGTGATGCCAGAAACATCAGTTCTTAACAGAAATTTTTTTAACTTATGTCATTTCAAAAGAACACAAGTCTTTTTATAACTCAATTTACTCCTGTAAATCAAGTACTCTCTTGTATACTGGAAGCTGGCATTGCCTACCAACTCTTTTCCTTAACAGTAACAAACTCTCTTTTTTAACACTTTTTTTTTTAAGTGATACTGACCTTTATTACTTTTTTTAACACAATTTCTCAGGAATGAAATGTACCATGGTGGAAATCACTTTCTGGAATGCATTCTTGGATGTGGAGGCTCTAAAGTAAGGATTCACTTTAGCCCAGGTAGCAGAAAGATACCTTGTTTCTAAGATTCTTCACCAGAAAGAAGAAAGCATCATAGATCGAGTAAATGAACTAAAAGTAAGACTGATTTCAAAGTGATTTAGACAGAATTCCCTTGTCTTTGAATAGAGAACTCCATCCAAGTAACAGCCAAACACCAGTATTTTCCTAGAATGGAAATTTTAATCATCTGCTGGACTTTCTTAACAACTGCACTTACTAGATATTAAATGTTGCGTTAGAAGGTTTCGTAAAGAGATGCCACGTCCCACTGAACAACGCAGTCCAAAGATCAGTGAATTATGAGACAACTAAATTTGCAGACAAGTGGAGAAGCTCATTCCATATGCATTGAAAAGGAATGATGAAATACCTCTTTATATCTGTGGCAACTGATTTCGGCAAGGAGACTTATCTGGAATTCTCATTTGGTCAGAAAACACAATGACTTACAAAGCAGGCTAGCAGATTTCCCATTAAATGAATACTCTAAAGACAGACTAAGTTATTTAAGTAATTGCCTAAAAAATGCCAAAGAACAGCAATTAAATGTTCTAGCATCTGAATCACTTTCTTGTTAATAAACATCCTAGAAGAATAGTGCAGTAGTGTCTCAAATGAACTTGTTTTGTATTTCAAGGAGGGGTAAAGATTGATGATAGCACTCAAAACAGATGTAAGAAAGTAAGATGAACTTGTAATGAATACTTCAGGAATAAAATCAGCTTACTAATGATGTCTCAGAGATTTTTTTTGGATTTTTATCTTTTATAGATTTTAGAAGTAGATGTGTAGTGAATGTAGATTTTAATGTAACTGTATTATATTCCTTACCCTGCAGCATAACGTTTACACATACCCAACCCTACTACCCCATTTCATATCAATTCCTCTAAAATTCCGTTAGCATGTTTAGTCTTCTTTTCAAGGCAGAATTGTAGAAAAACACCTTAAGGCCTGGACCAGAAGATATCACACAGACACAGAACTTTGGAGGAACTCCAAGGACTGTACGTGCTGTGAAGAAGATGACGATGAGGAAGAAGGGGTCCCAAATGCCCCCAGACCCAACTCCTGAAGGGGCGTGTCACGGGTCAGAACAGGGCAGAACCGGGGGTGGATAGACCTGGAATTGGATGGACCTTATTATAAAATCATAGAATCACTGTCCGAGCACGCTCGCGTGGTATGTATTCCTCTAGGCCTACGGACTCATTAAAGGACCTGCTCTCTTTATCTTATACACTAAATTGGCCTGAGTCTTTTTCTCCGCAGTCTTTTAGGCAACACTAATCATAAACTTTCCTGAGCAATTAAGAATGTGGAGGTCTAATGAAACTACATGGTTTTGCATCTTCCCCTTCTCTTTGGATAGGGGCAATAACAGATGTTCTTGTGACTGAACACTGTCTATACAGTCTGACACAGTCTATTTGATGCTGAGCAATTTATTGAACTTCAAGATTTGATATGGCCCAAATCCACATATTTTCCATTTTTAGAATGTTTACCATAAGATACAGAAACTTGGTCTGTAGAAGTACTAAACACACCCAGATCCAAGTCACTGTGACAAGCATTTTATTAACATAATAGTAATAACACATTTTAACCATATGATGCTAAGAACTTTGAAACATGAGTAGTTCAGTGGTTCAGGCTGGATATTCAAAACTAACAGAAGACTTTGATCTTAATCTCTCTGTGCCTCAGCTTCCCATGTGCAAAATACAGATAATACCACTCTCTCATCTCACAGGGGATTTGTGAAAATGAATTCAATCATGATTTTGAAGCATGCTGATAAACACCTTAAAACCAGTACAAGATAGCAAATAGCACATAATCATAAAAAATAATAAAGTTATGGGGAGGACAAACAAAACATTGACTAGCTTCTGATTAAACAAATACTAAAGATTCTGTGCACTCAACAAAATGAGAAGTTATGTGGGAAACAGTACCGGCTCACGTAATCCAATACTGTATTACAGGGTATAAACACAGTGGAGTAAAATTTAGGATGGATGAGAAATCCTAACTCAGTAAAAGCTCTTTATGTTAGAGTCATAGATTTTTTAACAGCTTTCATCTCCTCTGACTATCAATATAAATTTATAAGCAAATAAACGTACACCTAAATTTTCAAGAATATATTAAAATGCTGCTCTACAGAGGTGGGCAGATACTCCATTATTCTTAGTTCATCCAGCTTATTTCTGGAAGAAACTGCTTCCAGTGTATCCTTAGTTCACCTTTTCAGAGAGTACTGCTTTCCCAAGGTTGCCTCAGGGTCCTGCTGACGGATTGCTCTAATTGCAGTTGGTGAAGTAAAGAAGGCAGCTACTTCATGCTCTGCTAGCACACGGAAATAGGCACCAGCATCTGGCGTTCCCACAGGCTTCCCCTATGGAGAGAATAATTTAAAATGTCACAGAATAAAAATACATCATAATTCCTTGACAGTTCAAGGCTTGAACACGTAACAGTAGTGGTAGCACAGCAACAGAAGTAATATCAAGTAAGACTTTGAAAAATAATAACACTGTGAGTGTATTCACTTGTAGAATTAAATTCACAAGGTTTGGGCACAATCTCTTACATGAACACAACACAGCACATACCAGTTGCTTAGAAAATTAGGACAAATAGATATGCAAATAAAAAGACAGACACAAAGAACTGTTATTGCACTGGCAGCAGAGGGAGCCATCTACATATATCCTGACTGAGAAGCAGTTTGGAAAACACTCACCCTTTGAACAAGGAGTCTCTGGACACATTGGTACTGCAGCTATATTCCCATGCACAGGTAGCTTTTTCTTAACTAGAAATTTCTCTCAAATTTGGAAAAATTCCCATTTAGCTGCTTACAAATGGCTTCTTGGAACCTTTGTGCCGCTAGCCCACGTGAAGCCTGGAGAAATGCTGAAGAGTCTCTTTTCTGTTTTAGTGTGCTACTAAACTGTGGTCTGGTTTGGGGTTGTTTGTTTGGGGTTTTTTTAGCTAAATATTGTCTTGACCTAAAGGGCATAGTCAAGAGAACTGTAAAATGAATTAATAATATATGAAAATTGTTCCATGGTAAGTAATCCTAATAAAAAAATAATCAAGAACACTTTTCTGTGTGCTGAAAATATGAATTATACAGTCACAATCTTACTGTCTTTAGTTAGTGCAGTGCATGAACTGCTCCATACGTACTCTGAAATTATCAAAAGATGACATTAATGTAGAATGAGTTTTAGCTCTACAGGTATCATCATAACCTTTTCACTAGAAAGGCTGCACTTAGAAGATGGACTTTGACAGAACATGCAAGTCAAGAGAGACTGTTCTAGTTAGAACAGCTGGGACCAGCTTATCACTGTGTGGGTGTAATCCAAAACTGTGTATTCTATACCCTTCCGTGCCATTTCCCAGAAACTGTTAACAATAAACCATTTACAGCAGCTGCCCAGAGCACGCCTGACCCCTCAGGCTATAAGCTGAGTGTTAAGAGGTCTGTGAGATAGGAGGATGCTCCTGTCCTCTTACCCATTGTGGAACTCCCCGCCCTGAGGGAGGTACTGGGCATTCCTGCCTGAACCTGAGGATATATAATCTTGGGATCTTGGGACTTCTGCTACTTCTCCTGGGATCCAGAGAAGGACCGGAACTTGGACTGGACTGCGACCACCCCTTTCAACTAGACTGAGACCACCACTCTCGACCGGACCGCAACAGCACTCCCAACTAGACTGCGATCATCACCCTCGACCGGACTGCAACCAGCACTCTCACCAACAGGTTTTCCCTCTCCTTTTACTTTTGGACTCAGAAGGACCACGTGGGGCTCAGTACGGGGAGGGTGGCCCAATGAACACCACTCTGTTCATGCCCCAGGGTGTTGGGTTATACATCTGGGTTTTGTGGGTTAAAACCAATTGTCTGTCTGTGTAATTGTATTTATTGTATTATTTTTATTAAACTGTTATTCTGACTTATAATCTCTTTTGACTTGGATTCATCTCCCCTGCTGGTTTACCTTTAAACCAGCACAGAGTTTAAAGTTTACCTTTAAACCAGCACAGAGACATACACTTTTCATACTGCAAACACAGTTTTGTCAATGCTTTATGTAAGAAGCCACAAACACAGAGAAAGTTTCACTACTGAAATGTCATCATCCTTTCAGTAGTTCACTAGTGACATGACAAATTCATGCCTTGTGGAAATGCAAATTTGGTGAGAGGTGTGCTCAGAAAGATGCTCACCACAAAAGATTTAAAAAACCAAGACAAAATAGAATGCACAATTGAAAAGTTGGTGGTTTGTGGTTTTTTAAAGGATGGAGTAAGCCGTGAGAAAATAAACAAATGGAGAGAATGGAGAAAAAAAAGAAACAAAAAAACCCAGTTCTCAGCCCAAGTAGCAGAGAGTAGTATAACCAATGCCAAAACCTCTCTTTTTGCAAATAGCTTATCCTAAATTACCAAACAGAAATGCAACATAATGCCATTTGCATGCTGAAAAAGTGAGTTATGACCTTTATGCTGCCAGATAACACATAGTTCCCAAAGAAAAATCTTTTCCAAGACTATCTTGAGGCATCACCCTAGCAAACTTCTTCATCACAACTTTTGTTTGTTCATCAGTATTTGTAATGAACCTATTCATTCCAGTTGACATCCTCTCCCTGTAAGGTTCACTATACCTGCAGATCTGTAGCCACCTGCTTAGGAGCTCAAGCCTTCATCAGTAATAACTAAACAGTAATAACTAAAACAAATGGTCTCAGACTCTGAAAAATTCCAAATTTCCACAAACTTCTCATTAACTAATTATGTAATTGCAGCAGTATCAATCATCTTGGACATCAAAAAAACTAGTTGTGAAGCAATCTGAAATTGGTTAGTCTAAACAAATGGAAATATGCAGAGCCCATAAAAGGGCTGCGTCTGACCCCAAGCACACCCACTCCCTCCCAGGTCTCACTTCACACCTGATCCCTCTCCAAGCTACGTCACAGACATGCCTATGCCTCACACTTCTAGCAAGCCTGAGCCAAAGAGCATCTTCCACACAAGCAGCTAAACCTTCAGCAGTGCATGGATAGGCATGCACGACTATGACAGGTTGATATTTATGTCATAGGTAAGCTACAGCAATACCACTGGCACTGTTCTCAGACAGTGTTGAGATGTGACCTGTCTGGTTGCTTGCCTGTGGTACAGGTTTCCTATGCTGCTATAGAAATAGCTTTCTCTTTTCCTTTGGTCTTGCTGAAATTCTAGAATATAAGAAATAAGCTCTAAAGTTATTAAGTGCAATAATCTGAAACAAGACTCATAGAATGATTTTGGTTGAAAGGGCCCTTAAAGATCACCTAGTTCCAACCCCCCTGCCGTGGGCAGGGACACCTTCCACTACACCAGGTTGCTCAAAGACCCATCCAGCCTGACCTTGAACACTTCCAGGGATGGGGCACCCACAACTTCTTTGGCAATCTGTGCTGGCACTTCACCACCCTCACAGTAAATTATTTCTTCCTAATATCTAATCTAAACCTATCCTCTTTCATTGAAAGCTATGCCCTCTTGTTCTATCACTGATATATGGAATCAGGGGCAGATCCTTACAGAAGAAAAAAAGGGATTAATGCTTGTCCAGACTGAGACCCATCATTACATTCCCCACAATCTGTGGGTTATCTGACCAACCCAGAGGGTCTGCCTATGTTACAGAAAACTGAAGCTGTGTGAAATCTGCATGGTGTTCTTCCCCTATTAAGCCATTAATGCTCCTGGTATGTGCTGAATAATTTGGCTTACAATTAAATAATTCTGTAGACATTTTTCCTTTGCTACTTTAAATATTCCAGCTGAAGCAACTGAAATTTTAGATGCCTTGTATCATGCTGATTTCTTAGCCTGAATGATCAAATACTTAGCTGAATGAAACAGAACAACTCTCAACAAGAGTATAAGTAAGGCTCTGGTTTACCTCTGGGTCATTAGCAAGATGCCTTATTCACTCTACCATTGCCCTACTTCATTGCAACATTGTGAAGGTTGTTTTCATCAGACCTTACGAAATTATGGATTTGGTCTGATTGTTCAGTCTGGCCGCCAGTCTAGACAAGGGGTCTGTCCCAGTTAGATATGACCGATTACCTTATGAGAGGAAATGGAAGATGAATCCTGGTATTGTATTTCCTAATCCTCTCACTGTCTCCCAGTCCTGCCTCTCCCACATTCCTTCTAGTTGCTCAGTTGCAATGGTAGGTTGGACAGTGTTCAGCACTGCTCCTGCCTCTTCAGACACAGTAGCTCTTTTACAGCCTCCTACTGAGTTATCAGCCTTGAATGGCATGAGGCATATTTTCCCTTTCCTTCTTGGAGCCCGAACACCCTAGCAGCCACCATCCTTGCATTGCCTCTCCAGATAAATGTGACAAGGCAGGAGGGTGCTGAGGATAGACCCATTGATGTGAATTTGACAGGCAGTTGAAAATGTCTTCTTTAGGAACTGAAACCTTGAAGGATCCTGAGTCCTACAGTACAATTCAAAGTAAATCCATTCTTTTAGTATTGTTTTTTCACCTTTTTTTTTTTAATATCTGAGTTATAAGAACAGATAATGAATGTCTGGTAATTAGCACATCTGTTCTAGAACAAGCAGCAATCAAAAGTATTGAGGCCATGTTGCTGAGAACACAGCTGCGCTGGGCAGGGCACGTCTCCAGGATGAAGGACCACCACCTCCCTAAGATCTTACTTTATGGTGAACTTGCCACCAGTTGCCACATGAGAGGAGACCCGAAGAGAAGATACAAGGACTCCCGGAAACAACATCTCAGCCTTGGCCATATTGATCAACATAACTGGTCTACTCTGGCCTCCAATCGGGAGGTCTGGAGACACACTATCTTCAACACTGCTGATGCTTTTGAGAACGCACACAGGATCACTCTCGAGAAGACAAGACAACGCAGAAAGAATTGTGCCTTACAGAATATACTACCTAAGGAGTCTTTCTGCTGTGCCTTTTGCAACTGGATTTGTCTATCTCGTATTGGCCTTTTTAGCCACCAACGCACTTGTAACAAACGTGGGTAAAGCCCTTCCCAAATCTTCGTTCACGAAGCCCAGCCATGATGAAGCTACAGTAGCTTAGGTTTGGAGTTACCAGTCTTGTATCTAGAAGAAAACCAAATAAAACACAAACAGTAGGAGGAACAGAAAATTCACCTAACAATTGATAGGAAATAAATAATACCTAAAGACTAATTCAACACTTAAGATATTCATTTAGGGAAAAAAAATCTGGTCCAGCTGTAAAATATTCTTACTAATTCCGCAGAAAAAGTTCCCTGGTGCCTCAGCAGCTGTTCACAGTTTAGCAAATGCATAAACAAAAACTGAC